TTATTCATGTACTTGTCCTTGAAAAGTTGTAAATGTATCTGCATCTGCCACTTCCTCTCGCAGTTCATTGTACATATGAATCATCCTGTTTGGAAAAGGTGCCCCCAGGACCCTTTTAAATCTTTCTCCTCTCACCTTAAAAATATGCCCCGTGGTTTTGAGCTCCCCCACCCTAAGAAAAAGACCGTTGCTACTCACCTTATCTATGGCCCTCATGATTTTATAAAACTCTATTCGGTCACACCTCAACCTCCTATATGCACCAGTGAAAATGTCCCAGCCTCTCCTTATAACTCAAACATTTCAATCCTGGCAACATCTTGGTAAATGTTTTCTGAACTGTACACACTACTCTAATAGTAGCCTCATAACGTCCTGTACAAACTCAACATGATGTCCTGACTCCTATACTCAAAGGTCTGAGCAATGAAGACAAGTGTGCTAAATGCTTTCTTGATCACCCTGTCAACCTGTGACATCAGTGAGTGGTCAAAGTTCAAAACTTAAATGGTTTAAACAGCTTCATCTGCTTGTCTCCGTCATTCTGAAGTCTAATAATGCTAATTAATTCCAATCTCACAGAGTTACTTACTGGAGAGCATGATGGATATCGACCATGCCTGGTCAATTCAAAAGGCATAGAACATGGTCAAAACTAAATCACTGTACAGATTTGAATTTACAAATAAAGTGACTCTGAGAAGTCATAATATAAGCAAAGCACTATAGAACAGTTAGTTGTTTATAATACTTGCAATCGAGATGACTGAGACCCTTGTTCTTTCACTGCCCTCGGCAAAAAGACAGCTTCCCATAGTAAACACATCACTATTGCTTATAAAATCTTATTGGCCCACCAATGTAGTGACATGCTGATTAGAACTTATGAGAATTAGAGGATCTTTAATAAAAGGAACACGTTTTGTTATTTCCTCACAGCCACAACTTGAAACTTACAGAATATGCGGCGCCTCAGTTATTCAGCTGGTTTGGAGACCAAGTGACCATATGTGCTCAATTGTTCCCATCCCATGTGCCACCTTCAACATTCACACTTTTCAGCATGGAAACACATGTACGCTGCTGTCAATGACTGACAAGATATATTACAATAAATCACTGGGGCTTCTCCAACCGAACTTGCCCAATCTTTGATCTCTATCACTTAGAAAGACAAGGGCGGATGCTGAGAACAATGTTAGAATATCCTTTATAATGCCAAGGCCAAGAAACCATACATGCACACATCCAAACCGATTTTACTTGCCAAAATACTATTTGTTTGATTGAGCATTAAACTAAATGTTCACACAACTGCCCTTATTCAAACTAACAAACTATCTGAATTGCCACTACAATTAGATCTCCAGAGGCTAATTTCACCATGGAATGAAAGGAATTTAGTAAAACAACACACGGCTCATCGACACTTTTATTTGTTTAGAATCATCTGATTTAACACTAAAGATTAAAATTACTATTTTAGTGACCTAATTGGATTATCATCTCAAAACAGCAAATAAATTTGAAAATAACATATTAAACATTCATGAACTAAAATATGGTTAATATAGTTTCTACTCCAGAAATTTAACTAGATCATACAGTGGCCGTAAGAACAAGTCAGAGTCTAGGAACAAAACAGAAGTTGCTGGAAAAGCTCAACAAAGCCGGAAGCATTAACTCTTGTTTTTTTACTTCACAGATGTTGCCAGACCTGCTGAGCTTTCCAGCAACTTCTGTTCGTCCTCCTGATTTACAGTATCTGCAGTTCTTTTGGTTTTTTTTAAAAATCAGAATCTAGGAATTCTGGATTGAGTAACTTAGCTCTGTCCCCCCAGTGCCTACCCAACTTCAGCAAGGTACAGGCCAGGATTGTGATTGAACGCTGTATACTTACTTGGATGGATGCAGCTCCATCTACTGGACTGGCACCCCATGTGCCACTTCAACATTCACACTTTTCACCAGCAGTGTATACGATTCACAAGACACATTACAGTAAATCACCAAGGCTCCTCCCACACAACCTCCCCAACTTACAACCTCTAGGACTTAGAAGGACAATGGCAGCAGATGCTGATATAGTTCCCCTCCAAGATGCAAACCAGCCTGTCTTGCAACCAAATTGCCATTCCTTCACCGTTGCTGGGTTAACATTCTGGAACACCCTCTCAAATAGCATGGTGTCCCTTCACCCCAAGGACTGCAGTACTTCAAGAAGTTAAATCATCTCTACCTTTTCCAGGGAAATTAGGGTTGGGTAATAAATCCTGGCCTGGTGAAGAACTCCCACAAATATGAATAAATTGTTTTTAAATTCAATATTTATATTTCAACAGCAATTTTTATATCAGTGTTATCACCAATGCCAATTTCTACATATATTATTACAGGTGTGCATGGCTGTCAAGGTATCAAGATAATCAGCAATGGCTTCAGATTGACCTGAAGATGATCAGAGTTATTTCTGGAATCATCACTCAAGGACGATGTGATGCTGATGAATGGATGACAAAGTACAGTGTTCAGTACAGATCTGACGAAACCTTTAATTGGGTTTACTATAAAGACCAGACTGGAAACAATCGGGTAAGTATGACTATCACCCAGAAGTAAGCTAAGGAATAGGTTTAGTTTATCAGTTAGGTCCTCTTTGTCTTTTGTGACTTTAATAACTCTCGTTCTGACTGGTTGTATTTTTTTTCCAAATCAATCTGTTCAGACATGTTATGACACACCTCTGTGGCAGGTGGGGCTTGAACCTGGACCATGTGGTTCAGAAGTAGGGACAATACCACTATGCCACAAAACCCTTTTTGAACCTGGCTTGTTGAAAAAAATGTATTTTAAAACAACTTGTTCAATCAGCTTATGACTTATGATCAGGGCAGACAGGACTTGAACCCTGACCTTGCCCCACAAGATCCCCTCTAATTTATTGTATGTTTATACAGCAATTTAAACCCCTGTAAGTCATACTGGTGAGACAGCTTCCAGTTAGATCATTCCATTTAATGGAGTCTTAAAGACACAGCTATTTTCAAAAATAAAGTCCAACTTTTAAAAGATCAGCAGAATTAGAACTAGAGGGGCCAGAAACCCCAGTGGCAAGAAAAGGTCTTTGCAGGTGCATGACAACTTAACTTGAATACATAAATTTAACAATTCAGTTTTGGTCTCTTATGGTGAACACAATTTCTCAGGATTTATTTCCCCTTCTCACAGGTATTTTATGGAAACTCGGACAGGACATCATCTGTGCAGAATTTTCTGCGCCCTCCAATTGTTGCTCAATATATCAGGATTAAGCCCTTAGGCTGGCATGTCCGGATCGCTATCAGAATGGAGCTGCTTGAATGCATGAATAAATGCCAGTCATAAACATGCTGATATCAATTAAAGGATAGCATGGCCATTGAAAAAGTGCAGGCTATTGTCAAAAGTAATGACATATCTGAAAAAGTTATGTAATTTACATCTCATTGTTTCTTTAAACTTCTAAAATAAAATTCACTCGTAATCCTGAAGTAATAACAGGTTTGGCAATTTATATCCAGTAATATAGGGGTAAGAGTTTATTAGTCCTTTTGATTGCAGTGAAAAGCTGCCTGTAGTACAATTAAACAACTTCTGCACGTAGTGAGCAATCATATTTTTTCCAGCCCTATAGAATCACTTTGGATGCAATCCAGAAACAACTGGATGTTCATTTATCCCAGTCCACACTGGCCTGAATTAGCTCCATCTTCCAAAACACTGAATTCAAAATCTTTCCTATAATTCCCTTATGGCCTCAATTCTCAGTATCTCTGCAACTTCACAGCTCGGATTGTCTACTTCCTAAAATCTTCAACCATTCATCCAAGCTCCAGTGTAAGCTCTGAGTCTTCATTTTTCTTTCCCATCTTGCATCCTCCTCTATTTCACAGGATTCAGCTTTTTTGGCTCTAGTTTCTGGGCTTCTGCCAATATCTTCCAGACCAAACCTCAAGTTTTTCATCTCTTCATGACTTTACAGGTTAAACATTTATCCTTACAATTGCATCAATGCTCCTCTTTCCTAATTATTTGTCTGCCTAGCATCTGAAACCCTTATGTAATCCAACATTGCCCACAAAATATGGATGGAAGCTTCCAGCCAGCAAATGAGACTGTCAACCCATGTCTGGGTTGGACTTGAACTCAGATTATACAACCATACCAAGTGTTCCATCAACTACCCCAACCACATTTCAATGTCAAAAGATTCCAAATGCCAGAAATACTCAAAAGTTCAGGATGCATTTGCAAAGATTGCAGATGGTTGATTTTTGTACAGTCTTTAAACTCAGGCTTCTATCTTTCACCAACCTATATTCACTTCTCACAAGAATAATGGACTCCAAAGTCATAGCTCTAAGGATGTCATAAATCTAAAATGAAAGTTTAAAAAGCTGGAAATACTTAAGTCAGGGATCAGCTGTGGACAGAGATAATGTTTCAGGTCAAAACAACCTTTCAACATCCACAAACACTGTCTCAATAGCTGAGCATTTGCAGTTTTTCTTATCTTTATAGTAATAGACTCTAACTGGCCCCAAAACTGTTTATCGTAGCTAATGTAGAGGATGAAGAATGCACCAGAATCTTTGCTTTACTTATATTTAGAGGGCTGCAATTAAGGAGATACAGAAGATTCACGTTAGGCAGAAAACAAGAATGAACTTTCCTTCAAGATACAATCTATGCTCATGGAATATTTGCAACTTTCAGGAAGCAGAATGTTTTTGAAAGATGCAATAAGTACTTTCCAAATTTATCCCTGACCACTTACATGTTAAGATTTAATACTTCTTAAAAAGAAATTAGGATCTATATCCATCACATGCCCTGCCTAAGGGCAATATCTCCATAATCTCCCATTAATTTTTATGTCATGCAATCAAGTTTAAGTAGCTTTCTCCACTTGATACATGATTAAACAAAATATTAATGACAAAATCAGGAACTCAACATTTTAGTGCAAAAATTTGCATTTTTATAAAGACATGTTTTACAAGGTCCATTCAAAAATACATTGTGCTTAGTAAAAATTAACCATTTCATGCCAATATTCAGTGACAACTCAAACAGTATGATTAAAATTTACAAAATAGCTGTACATACAGATGGAAAACACACTATAAGGATTGAATATACAAACATATAAATGTTATATAAACAATTTACAAATGTTTTATACTTTGCAATCATTAAAAAAAGGGAAAAACTGCAATAAGGGAAACAAAACATAAATGCAACTATGTGAGAAACTACAAATGCTGTCAAAGAATCCTGGAAAACAAGGACTTCACATGAGCAGAGACCTGAACACTTGAAAATATGTGCACATTTTTAGAAAAAAAGTATAACTGCCTAAAATATAATTTCAGCTGTGACTATAGGCATTAAACACTTGTCAGAATTACATATATACTCTCAAGTCAACTTTTTTCCCCACATTTTTGTACACCTGTAATATTATCTTATCAGAACTATATTCAACAGCAATGTGCATTTATTAGGCTTTCCCCTGTTAATAAGTTCCCTAACCACAATTTCTAATCCTGTAGATATGTATTAAGATCTAACAGAGAATACATATGTTTTACACCCATACAAACCTGTATTGAGTAAAAGTATTGAGATCTGCATGCATAAAACACATCTTTAGACAAATATATACATTAACACTAATCACACCTGCTGGTTTATATTCTGCTGAATTATTTGGACCCTGGGTTTATACTAATCAATTAGCATTATATAAAAGCGGTTTTAAAAATGTGGCATAAAAGTCTCAGCATTTTACTTGTTTTTTGCAACAACTTTTTTCCTCCAAGTTTTAACTTTGAAAATTGACCTTTCCATACAAGGTTTAATAAGAGGAAGTGTGCAGACATAAAAAAAAATTATAATTACTGAAAGTAACAGGAACAGTGAAATTTTAAACTTAAAATTCTGCAGAATATAAGAGCAGTCTGTTTCAAACTTAATGCCTGTTTTACATTGAAGTTGTTGAAGACATTGAAATCTGTAACTGATCACATTAATACTGAACCTGACTATCTGCACTTTGCGTGCAATGACATTCAAAAACAAATTTGACAAATCAAAATTTGATACTTGTCGTAATACATATAAGCACATTTCGAAATGGGAATTTGTGTGAATGTTGTTCACAAGAAATAGAAACTTCCTATCAACGACAATGCCAATGGTAAAAGCCACTCAATACCTGCTCACTGAAGGTAATATTAAAATGTTCCCTCTTCTGAATATTCTAGCTCTTGAAAGAATCATGTTCATCAATAGCTTTCATATAAATATTCATTAAAAAATTATTTATCTCAGCAGTACTTTGAACACATGACATAGAAGACTTTGTGAAAAGTATAGTCAGTGAGAAATCTAGGCAGCTTAACTAGCCAGATCATGTAATAATCATAAAACAAGGATATCAGTCAGCAGCAGGAAGGAACAGAAATGTCTAGCAAGATTGCAAAGTATTGGTATAACTGCAAGAAAAACCATATCACAAAACAGTCTTGCCTGGAAAAGATGTTGATACAGAAGTTGCAGAAATCTCTCAAATCAGGCAAGGTACCAGTGAAAGACGTCTTGCAATAGTGCAAATTCAGCTGCAAACCAACAAGGCACTATTTTCATGGAAAAGTATTGTGTAAGGTAATTAGTTAAACATGCATTTTGCACAAGTGTCTGCATGCCACAAATTTAGTGCCTTTTGCCAATGGGATATTTGGAATATACGAATCTTGAAATTACTAAATTATTTTGAGCTATTGCATGGCTTGGAATGAAAGTACAAATCAAATCTCATTCGTAAAGACCATTTGCGATTTGGTGGGAACATTACCTTTACCATTTATTAAAAAAAGTCAGATATACGACTGGTTCTAAAGAATCCTATTTATTAATGGAGTCCACAATATCATAAAATATGCTTAAAATCTAGTGTACATTTTTGCTGCTACTGACTCATCATTTATTAATGGGTGAGTTACAGAGAGTATGTAATTTTTATCATTCATTTGATGAGCTTGCTTCAGAATAATGGAACCCATTCCTAATAGGAGGGCAGCAAGCTCAAATTCATGTTGCCACCAATACTCTTATCTAAACAGCAGAAACCTTACTGACATGTCAACTACGTATTCTATACTTTTGTTTTTTTCTATAAATGCAAAAGTTTAATTTGGTCAGCTGAATATGTAATTATTGTTTGAAAACACTGCAAAATTTCCTTGATGAATCTCAGTCACAGTTAGTTTTTCTTCAAAAACTAGCTTCATGCCCAACTGAAAAATTGATGACATATTGTATAATTTGTGACAATTACGATTAAACTTTCTAAAAGGGACTAAGACTGGGGAATGAGAATCAAACACAGTCACAACCTCATGAATGATTGGTTACTGAAACTGCTGTAAACTCCCTTTGACCATTTGAGGGTTGCAATGAATAAATTTAGTTACACTCCTCTCCCGTCACGCATCTAATTTGTATATTCGAGGGAAAAACATGTCAAAAAATAAAAGTGGCATATACTTTTGTACAGATTTATTGGTTGTTCCTACATTGGCACTTAATCAAGATGACATTATAGTCTAAAACAGAAAATGTGAAGTAAAAAGCAAATCCTTAGACTCTGCTCAAGATCTGAATTTAACAACTTTATAAATAAAACCATAAAAAGGTGACTTTGGTAATTTCCACAAAAATTTGTGCATGATGTAGGATGAATTACAAATCTGATTAAGGTCTAAGTGCTTGCCCATTTTCAAGGCCAGATCTAAACCAGGATTTTGCATAAACCTGTATTTTTTTCTTTTGGCCACTGTTTTCTGTTTTGAAAAAAAAAGCACATATTTCTGTTTGAGGGATCATTGCACAAGGGAAGGTTAACATTAAAAAGCAAACAGGCACAAGATAAGGCACAGGCAAAAGATGTAGGTGTCAGATGCTGGAAATGCAAAATTACATGAAAATAACATGTCTTCTAACATAAGAGAACACAACCTACAATAAAGAAAATATAAGCACAATCATAATCCAGCAAATGTAAAATTTTGATGTGGTGCAATTTTTCCTGTCAGACAAGGCAAATTCTGAGGGTCATGACTTATTTTTCTGCCTGCTGGGCTTGAGTTCCCACAGAAAATTATGTGTGGCTGACAGAGAAGATGGCATTCTCCTGCTTTGAAGAAGTGCCCAATTTTCACCAAATACATACATACCGGTCATTTGAAGAGCATGTTTGTAAGAACACATGATGTTCAGCATACCCATCAGCTTAAGTAATGACCACACAGTCTAAAACCCTTTGTTGAAACCCAAGTCTGCTTTCTTGGCAACTTCACAGGGAATTCCTAATGAGGCAGATGCAGATTGATCTACAGGGAAGATTAAAATTTCACATTTTATGCTCTAAGTGTTAGAGCAATAATTACCAAACTAATGGTAACCCTAGTTTTGTTCCTGGTACATGGCCAGCTACCATTGCTCACAGTCACCATCAGTGAAACATTTGGATGCTCAAGGGCATGAGTGTACCATATGTACAACTACTGTATCAATATATCCTTCTGAGGAAGCATTGTATACACTACTATTTCAATATATAATCAAGCAAAATTATTTGAGGGTGGAAAGAAATGGAACTAGTTTAGTACAGCTATATCGAAAAACTCAGCTGTCATGGTAATAATGAAGAATACAAAATTCAGGGTGAAGAATAGAAACCAACTTAAAAAAAACACTATAATGATATTACTGAAAAATAATATGTCTGCCAGAAGATCTAGATGTTGCAAAATTGATTCCAGCTGTACTTTTGCAGTTTATATAATTTGAGTTGAGTGCATTTGAACATTTATTCTGTATACAATATATACCTAGTTCACTACTTACCACAATACACAGTAAACTAAAATCAAATATCCCTACAGTTCAATTTACCCATTTCAAGCCATATGATTTGTTTGAAGCAGAGTCTCCACATTATCCAAAAGAATGAAAATGATATAATCTCAATTGCATATATTGCAAAATAACAGGCCCAATTGTGGTTCAACACTACATCTTACATTGATAAACCACTTGAGCTTTGCATTTCTGTTAATGACAGGTTACAATTTTGTAACAATTTGTAACTTGTTATTCTTGTATATCATTTTCATGAAGTAGTTTGTACAGATTCTATACTACATACCAAAAATAAAATCCTTTTATCAAACTTTGACAAGCTACTAACCACACACCAAACATAATTGCCAGTATATTCGCTGAAATACTACTACTCATATGCCTAAATATAATGCAAATTACAGTTTGAGGAAGAAAGTGTACAAAATGCCTAAAAAGCATCAGCAGCTTGTGAGTACAGTGTGCATTAAGTACACAATAACATTGTGCTCTATGAAGTCATGGATATCAGGACAAACTCCAGTTCCGACAATGTACAAATATATTATTTGTTATAACTACAAACTGTTTGAACTGTTACAGAATAATCTGAACACCATATGAATTGTGAGCTTTGTTAATAATCAATGCAGGTGCTAGCCATCGTTACACAGTCACTAGGTGCTGTTTTGCGAAACCTCAAACAATTTAAAATAATTCTACGTATTGCATTACTGTCATGATTAGGATTTTTTTAAATTGCTTCCAACATTACATCAGTAATGTTTATTAAAGGGACCTGGTTATTCATCTGATATAGAAGTACTATTCATTTTCAGAATGATTAAATGAAAAATGACTACAGCGCTGTTTCTTTTAAATCATTTAGATTTGGCATTCTGGAACGTGCTGTTCTGGTTAAATGTAGAGAATGCCCATTTTGACTTGATTTGGAAATCATTCGCTCAGGGTTCATAGTTCCATCAATTCCAGTCCGGCCACTTGGCAGCACATGCCAGATAGGTTCCATTTGCCCAGGTAGTTGGAAAGTTGATCTGGGTTTTGCCTGGGAATCTTGTTGTGTATTGCTGTTAGGAGTCTGCCCCGCTGCATGGGTGCGACCCTCACTGTGAGATGATTTGACTGGCTGGTTTGGCAAAGGTTGAAACCGTACTTCTGAGGGAGTAGAGTGACTGAATGAAGTAGGTAACTGCAAAAACTTGCGCAATGACTTCAAAGGGTGTTTCTGCAGAACATAAAAAATACTTTATTCAAATATCAGTTAAATCAGTAACATAGCAGGTTTTATTTGGTTTGAAATTCTTCCACATTGCAGAAAGTAACATTATTGACACAGAACCACATTTGAAGAATGCAAGAAATATTTACTTAAAAATTATACAAAATATTTTAAAATAAAATCTACTTTTGCTTAAGAATATAAAGTTTCCCTAGATAACAACTGTGACTGCACTTCAGAAGTTCACTACTGGCTATGAAGCACTCTGGATGTGAGGGTGTAAAAGATGTTTACTTTCATGGTTGACAGAAAATATTTCCATTTTACAGGTGGAAGTAATGGACAGTTTTCTGAAAACTATGAAGAATAACAGTGCACTAAAGGGATAAACTCTGGTGCAAAGTTCAAAAAGAACAGGATTAAACATGGAAGTGACAATAACGTAAACACTTACTCCACTTAACATTTTAGAAAAACAAACTGGTGAGATTTCTTTGTTGCTCCAGTCAGAATTTAAAAGAAACAACATAGTTATTGACACTGAATTCTTCAAAATAGCACCATAAATTTAGCAATTGTTAGCAATTATTTTGCTCACTGCATATGCTGAAGGTATTTTAAGAGAAAGATTAAATACCTAATAAGACCATTCCTAAAAAAAAAACTAAATTAAAGATAAGGATATTGCAACAGGATAAAGGAATGTGCCCAAGTAGAAAATATACTAGTAGATAACACAGGAGGCAATGAAAAACCTATAAATTGAAGAGGATTTTAATGCAAATAAGCAAAAGTAGGAGTTGCTTGATGAAAAGTGCTAAAACACAAACAAAAATCAGAAAACCATAGAAAGTAGAAGGAAAAGAAAGTTTAGAGCTAAAATATGTGTGAAGAAAGGCTAACAGATAACATAAAATGAAAATAATAAAGGATCTTGCAAACATTTAATGTAAATGATTAGTTAAAGCAGTACTAAGGTTAATTTGAGGGAGGAAAAGATATCCCACAAAGATGTTCATAAGACCGATGTAGAATGAACACTATGGGCCTAACGTCCAAACATGCACCCATCCACACTTCTCGCTGCCACGGAAACGCAGCCATCATCAAAGACTCTTCCACACCCTGGGTGTATGCTCTTCTAACCTCTTCCATCAGCCAGAAGATGGAGAAGCTTAAACACGCATACCAACAAGCTCGAGAACAGCTTCTTCCCTGCTGTTATCGGACTGCTGAATGGACCTCTCTAATTTCAAATCTAATGTTGATCTTGCTTTTGTGTACCTATTCTGTAGTTGCAAACTTGTATGCCTCACTCTGTCTAAATACCCTAGGATCTGCATGTTTGTGTATGTTATGATTTGTTGGTACTGCACGCAAAACACAACTTTTCACAGTACTTCGGTGCATGTGACAACAATAAATCAAATCAAATTAGGAATCAATCTAAAGCATTACAGCTGAGCAGTGACTACAGACTGGAAGAGCTTGAAACATTGTTCTCCTGAGATCCACGCACATTTTTTTTGACACACATTACATATTTGCACACTTATAAATACATATACAGAATAATCCAATGGATTATACCGTTGTAATGTTTGAAGATGATATAACATTAGGGACAAAGGTTATGTTGAAAAGTGTACACAGCTTCAAATGAAGATAAGTAAGTTGATAGAGCTGGAAAAAATGCAGAAGGGCATCTCGTAGAAAATAGGTCTAAATCTTAAGAACTTTAAACTGAAAATAGTTTGATTAGAATGAATGATTGCAGAGATTTCATGTTGCAGAATTTAAAGGTACATTTGTAAATAAAATACCTGAGGCTGAACATCTGCCATCTTGTCTACGGGCCAGTCTCTCCCTCTGTTTTGGCTGGCATGTAACGCCTTTTGTAATGCCAGACGATCATGGCCATCACTACTAGGCATCTAAGATCAAGAGATGCACATTAGCAAAGTAAACTGAAACAAATTATTGCACTTGGATTTCAGCTTTGGTAAGGACATGCATTCTTCAGTTTTTAAACTTGATAACAGCCTGCAAACTGTAGTAGAGATTAGGTAATAAAGCACAGACAGTGGTCAAGATAATGTGTCAAAATAAAGGATTAAATATCTTTTACCTAAAAATTGCCTTAATCTATATGGTGCTCATCAGAGGAGGTGGTACACAATAAAAAATGAACAGTTATAGAGTCATAAAGCTGTATAGCATTGAAACAAACTCTTCAGTCTAACTGTTCCATGCTGACCAGATATCCTAAATTAATCTAGTCCCATTTGCCAGCACTTGGGCATATCCCTCTAAACCCTTCCTATTCATATACCCAAATTGTACTAGCCTCTATCACTTCCTCTGGCAGCTTATTCCATACATACATCCCTCTCTGCATGAAAAAGTTGCCCCTTACGTCCCTTTTGAATATTTCCCCTCTCACCTTAAACTTATGCCCTCTAACTGTCCCAACCCAGGGAAAAGACCTTGACTATTCATCCTATCTATGCTCGTCAGGATTTTATAAAGGTCATCCCTCCGCCTCCGGTGCTTCAGGGAAAACAGCCCCAGTCTATTCAGCCTCTCCGTATAGCACAAACCCTCCAACCCTGGCAAAATCTTTTCTGAACCCTTCCAAGTTTAACAATATCCTTCCTATAGCAGGGAAACCAGAATTGAATGCAGTATTCCTGAAGTGACCTAATCAATGTCCTGTACAGCCACATGACCTCCCAATTCCTGTACTCAATGCACTGACCAATAAAAGCAAGCATACCAAATGCCTTCTTCACTATCCTATCTACCTGCAACTCAATTTTCAAGGAACTATGAACCTGCACTCCAAGGTCTCTTTGTTCAGCAACACTCCCCAGGACCTTACCATTAACTGTATAAGCCCTGCCCTGATTTGCCTTTCCAAAATGCAGCACCTCTCACTGATCTAAATTAAACTCCATCTGCCACTCCTTGGCCCATTGGCCCATCTGATCAAGGTCCCGCTGTACTCTTGAGGTGACCTTCTTGGCTGTCAACTACACTTCCAATTTTGGTGTTATCTGCAAACCTATTAACCACACCTCCTATGTTCATATCCAAATCATTTACATTAATGACAAAAAGCAGTGGACCCAGCACTGGTCCCTGTGGCACACCGCTGGTACAGTAGGGCAAATCTTCCTTAAGTACAGCCATAATGTTATCCCTTATCAAAAACGCCACTCCCCTCCACTCTTGCCCCCTTTTTTATCCTTCCTGTGGCATCTATACCTTGAAACATTAAGCTGCCAGGCCGGTCCATCACTGAGCCACGACTGTATAATTACTATGCTGTCCCAGTTCCATGTTCTCAACCATGCCTTGTCCAACCTTGTCTTTTCTGTTAGGCCTCTTGCATTCCAAAAACATTTATGCAAAAATTAATAGCACTAAAGACTTGTTGAAAAATATCCACTTGCAATAATCACACATACTAAGAAATAAAATACTATAACAGTACTACCAATATTTGTGCAAGGGGCTACACACTGAAATGCAATTTGTTGCTGTGAATATGTGGTTAGACTATTGAGAAGTTGCATTCTCTATTGTTACAATTTTGGAGCCAATTAAACTACACAATCAAAAACAGAAACTTCTGAAAAATTTCAGCAGGTCTGACAGTACTTGTGGAGATAAATCAAAATTAACGTTTCGGGTCCGGTGACCCTTCTTCAGAATTGCCAGAGCTGCTGAGATTTCCCAGCAATTTCTGTTTTTGTTTCAGTTTTCCAGCATCCGCAGTTCTTTTGATTCTATTTTAAACTAAGTAATCAACTTGTACTTGGGGAATGCAAAAATTGTGTCCCAGCTCCATTATCATATTAGATACAAATCCTAACAACCTGGTAGACTTATCTGTCATGATAGGCTGAATGTCAATGTAGCATAAACTGCAACTGCGCAAAACATACCCATCTTTGCAAAAATAAATAGAACTTTTCAAGAAAGGACAAATGAACTCTTAAATGGGGAAAAGATCAACAGCAACTCAAATCTGCAACCATGGAATCATAAAAGTTACAGCACAAAAGGAAGCCATTCAGCCTGTTGTGTTTGTATGGAAACAAAGTGCAACTCACTTCGTCCCACTTGCCTGCCTGTCTCCCATAACCTTCACGTATTTTCTTCAAATAACTAATTCCCTTTGAAAGCCACAATTCCATCTGCCTCGTGTACACTTTTAGCCAGTGCATTCCAGATCTTAAACACCCACTGCATAACAATCTTTTTCCTCATGTCTCTATTGCTTCTCTTGCACACTATCTTAAATCAGTGCCCTCTAGTTCTCGTTCCTTTCAAAGGTCACAAAATAATCTACTCTGTCCAGTTCCCCTTTGATTTTGAACAGCTATCATCAAGCTTCTCTTAATCTTCTCTTTTCCAAGGAGAAAAATTCCAGCTTCTCCCATCCATCCACAGAACTGAAATTTCTCACATCTGTAACCATTCTTTCCCACATTTCTGCAAACTATCTAAAGTCTTCTCATTCAACAGGAAAAGCACTTGAATCCCTCCTCAAATCCTTAAGTGCTGTTTGGGACAAAATAGAACTTTTTTTAAATCTAGGTGGTCCAACTAACCACTTAAAACTTTCAAAAACCATGGTCAAAAATCCAATCTGCATGCAAAATATCCAGATTTTTTTCTCCTCTAAAAAGCACCATAGCTAGATTATGTGCATAACTCGGCATTCCCTGAACACGTGCCGCTGTGCTTTGCTGCTGCTTTCCAAATCTGAAATCTTGAGATTTTGAACATGCTGTTAGTTAGAGCAGTAAGAAAGGAGAGCTCCTTTTTGCCCAGAAACAAACTCGAGAATGTCTATGTTATATATGACCAAAGTTAAGTTCCTGAATACATTGGCAATATTATTTCATAATGAGGGAAAACCCAAGCTTAAACCAATTTCCAAGACATTGATACTCAGTATGTGCATGCTCTGGCTGTTATTTGCTTAGAAGCATTATTTCTGTATGTTAGGAATACAGTATTTTAAAATTAATACCATGGGAAGATTGACTACAGGCAGTTCTCTGGAGGAAGAAATATGTTTTAAATGATTCTCTGCACTAAAAAGAGGAAAGAGGGATTTTCTGATACTTGGATTTTCTCCATCGTAGTTTTCAGTCTGTAATATAAGATACAAATACACCAAGTGCGTAGATATTGCAACACAAGCAGCTATATTCCTGTGTCTTTGAATGTACAATTTTGATTCATTTAAATAATCACCAGAGTGTGTAAATTCAGGGACACGTTTCAAGTAGTGTAAATTTGGCAGTAACAATGTTAGATTACCAATCAATTGCATCTGTTATCATTCTTATAAAAAAGCTCACTTATTTTAGTCATGGCAATTTGACAAATAACCTTTCCCAATTCAATGAGTTTTACAACTTGCCTAAAACTAGACCATATTTTTCCCTCACTGGCTGGCTGTAATAATATTGAAACCTCAAATATTAATGACTAGCCTAAACCTCAGTGGATTTATTGGTAATGCCAAATAAGAGCATGAACTTTTCCCTAGCCACTCAGTTTACAGAAGTGGAAGTCATGCAATGGCATCATGATTGACATGCGAGTGGCAGGGAAATCAGGCAGATGGTGAGATCAATTGTTAGAGACATGTTTGGGGAGGGAACGGTGGGGACATGGTGAGATTAACGAGCATAGACTCTGTGATTGACCAGTTGATACTGATCTATTTGTTGGAGACCATGGTTCTAGAAGGATAAAGGTAGCGGATGCATGGTAACACCACCTGCAAACTTCCCTTGAAGCCATGCAGCATTGTGACTTGGAATCATATTACTGTTCCTTCAGTGTTACTGAGTTAAAACCCTGGAACTCCCTTCTTAACAGCATGGTGGGTCTACATATATTGAGTGAGCTGCAGCTGCTCAGGAAAGCAGCTCAAGACCATTTTAAGGGCAACTAAGGAAGGGCAATAAATGCTGGACCACATCACATGAATGAACAAGAAAAAAAGATTCAGACTGAACTAAGTGATTCCATATTCAAGAGAGGTGAATAGAATTATCTTTACTGTAACAGGGATTTTTTGTTGGTTTTTAAGCATTCCTTATCTATTTGAAAGATAGGCACTATTTTTTTTCTCAGAAGTCCAATCGAAAATGAACTTCTGCAAATCTTTTAGGATTAAAGAAATTAGGATTTACTAACTGCATTCAAAATAATCCAGAGAAATGGCACACAACACGCATTCATCCACACGTGTCCAACAAAGAAAAAAGGTAAGAGATACAATTACAAACTAGTGATTTAAAATCAAAGATATCAGAACTAGTTCACATAAGTTAGAATCCAGTAAGTAAATGTCCAGTTGTGTAAAGGCAAAATACTACAGATGTTGGACACCTGAAACAAAGAGGATGCTCATCAAACTCAGGTCTGGCAGTCTCATGTGGAGACAAACGGAGTTAACCTTTCATGTCTAGTGTGATGCTTCTTTGGGACTGAAAAGTGTTGGAAAATTTTATTTTAATATACTTTTGACAGAGGTATGAGTTCCAGTGTAAAAGACAAAGGGGATGTTAATGATTCAGAGAGAAAGAGAGATCTAAATTGAGCTTAAGGTGTGAAAGTAAGGTGCGAGTCTACCTTACAAACAGCAAAATAAATTAGATAAAAACAAGACAAGGCTGTGGAGTGGGAGGAGGAGAGGGAATATAAGAAAAATGGATAACAGACTTAAGACAGTTTCTAAAGGTAATCAATTAATTATTGAGACCTTGAGACTGCAAAGTGACTAAGTAGATAGTGAGGAATTAATTCTTGAGACTGCACTGTGCTTTGTTGGAACATTGCTGGTCTGGGCCTGAAACAATGTTAACATGAGAGCAAATGGTTTATTGAAAGGGGAAGCAACTTGAGGGTATAGGGTCATGCCTACGAACAGAGTAAAGCTGTTCTGCTAAGAGGTCACTCAGTCTGTATTTGGTCTTATCAAAATAAAGGAGATTGTCCAGTTGAGGTTCTTTCAGTTGCTGTGTAAGGAAGTCCCTTCCACAAGGAGAACAGCTACAGTTGAATTGCTGGCAAAGGTGCAATTGGGTCACTTCATCAGCAAAACACAGGTTTCTTTGCCAAAAATCACATTTAATGGAGACAGTGAGATCAGAAGTAGGCATCTAGCAAAGCCTATGATGTGTTATGATGTGTCAGCTTCTCTTGCTAGGAGTAGACAGTAAATCTAAAACTAAATATAATTAAAGGTGATTTCAAACAAACCAGTTTCTGAGAGTCATTAGTAACTAAGTCAATCAATAATGGATTATCTCCTAGGCTTAGAATGGGCTGAGCAGACATCTTGTCAATTATTCGTTTGTGTCACAATCATTCAAAATTTCTGGGAGCGATCAACTTGCTCATTCTGTGTTCAATAGCAACCATTTTAAAATTTGCCCAAAGTCCATGTTAAAGAATTTAAAACGAAAAATAATTGTTTTTATAAAGACAATTCAGGATCAATCTCATAATAAAAGCAAAATATTGTGTATACTGGAAATCTGAAACAAAAGCAGACAATACTGGAGAAGCTCAGCATGTCAAGCAGCCTCTGTGGGGACGGAAACAGAGTCAATGCTTCGAATCCAGTATGGCTCTTCTAAGACCCGCTGAGTTTCTCCAGTATTTTGTGTGTTTGTTTCAGGATTTCTCCGCCATGCTTTCTTAGCATTACATTCCTCCAAACATTAGAGAAAAAATGATTTATATTTTAGAAACATGTTCAAGGAGAACAGAAAAAGCAGGGGTGCACATTCATTCTCACTCACTCTTGAAAGACAAACACATAGGTAGTTGAGGATTCCCTGCTGCAATGTAAGGGTTTACACATGGGTCAGCACTCTGTGTCATG